AATCAACCGCAACTATTGTCTGTCGTAAACTGTATTACTGTCCCAAACACCCCCTTTTAAGCAACTGTTTGCTAGTTTATTTGAGGTTGTCTTTTTCTTAAAGTCATAATTTTCTTTCCTTAAACTTATCACGTATCAGGCTTTTGATGAGGCCATTGCGGAGCTGGATACGTTGGGCGAGGAGTCATACAAGGACAGCACTTTGATCATGCAACTCCTTCGTGACAATCTTACTCTTTGGACCTCTGACATGCAGGTAATGGACTTATTCCAAACTATCCCTATCTGTTTGTTTTTGCACTCGTATTGACAATGGGAAATATCTGTTCTGATTCAGGACGATGGTGCTGATGAGATTAAAGAAGCAGCACCCAAACCTGCTGATGAACAGCAGTGAAGGTGCTCTACTGCAAATTAGGGTTGAACTTCTCCTCTATATGTTTTTAATAGGAGAAGGTGCTTGTTGCTAATTTGCTTGTTATTCTGATCTTTTAGGCATTCTTGTCTTGGTTATGAATCATGGACGCGCCAAGCTTTTCTTTCTTATTTTCTTTTAGTTTGTCATATCAATTTGTGTTTCTGGATGGCCCTTGTTTTCGTAATGATATCTGGTTTTGCCATTAAGAAATTCTTTCCTCATAAGATCGATAGCCTTCGTTGTTTTAACAGCTTTGGTTTTTGCCCTTGATTGCTGTGTTCTGCGAAAGCATTTTATGTTGGACCATGTTTTGGATACCCCAGGCAATCTCATCTCCCTTTTCTCTCTGAATTCTGCTTGCGAAGATTTATTAAAAGTCCACGGGCATAGATATATTAATTGTTCGGGGTTCCATCTATCACTACTAGGTTTAGATTCCACCCCTTGCCGGTTGCCTAAATTCAATTAGATTATAGTTCGCGCATATTCGATCTTTGAGGAAATGACAGGAGATGCGGCTTGCTTGGTTGTCGCCCAATTGTACTTTGTTACTTCTATGTTGGGGTGAATTCTTATGAAAAAAGGGTTGCTTGGTACTTTTGTTCGATGGTGCATGTCTCCTCGCTTCTTTTAGGTAGTGTTTGGATGGGAAATTTTATGCTCGGTTGGCAGACATGAGTGAACTTTGTGTATTTGAAAATAAAATGAAATTTTCCTTTGTGCGCATAATCTCGATAACTTTTTTTTTAAAAAAAGAATCGTCTCTCTTGTAATTTATTCTTTTTTTTTTGGCGTTTTTCTCCTCTCTGCTTTTGTCTAGCTTGATAAAATGATCTTAAATCGATAATTTGCTCTCAACTTGATAAATTTGTAAAATTAGATCATTTCATCCTTGTAATTAGAATACATGATGATTTGAATTTTGTGCTGATTTTTCTTTTATTTATAGTTTTTTAGTCATATACTTGTGTTTATAAGGTTTATTAGATTATTTTAAATGTCACTCTGAAAAAAACACAAGAAACCCAAGTTTTGTAACAATACCGTCAACACGCCAGAACTTGGCCTAACTACCACAAGTAGCAGGGAAGAAGATGAATGGATGCCACGTCATCTTTGCAGGTGACCCGTCCTTTTCTTTTAAATACAGCCGGGCTTGGACTTTACCAAGAGATTTTATATTTTTCGGTCAACGTCGTATCAAAATAATTTTAAAACAGTGAAAAAATAATTAAAATATTAAACAACCAGTGTTTCGGCCGCACTGCTGATCTTCTTCTTGGAGTTCTCGCTGAACGTGGGTTGGCATGGTGGCAATGGCTCTGTGTGTAAGTTACAAAGATGTTGGAAGCAGATTGGCCCAAAGGGAATTCATGGGCTCATTTTACAAAGCTGGTTCTTTACTATAAACTGCAATTTATATTTGAATTCTAAAATGTCCAAATGGTCCATGAATAGTGGGATTCTGACGTAATATTGGATTTTGCTCTCTAAAATATTATTATAATTATTCCACTGAAAGATTCCCTGATCAACATACACGTCAACTAAAATTACGGACATGATTATATATATTGTTTCACTATTTTTATTTTTTTATTTTTTTTATTTTTTTGTGCAGACCATTTATGGATTACAGCTACTCTACTAAAATAATTGAAAAGGGATATGGTTCTTCACTGTTCGTGTATACATAGTGAAGCACCTTAGGTTTTTTTTTTTAAAAAAAATTATACTTTCTTAAATCTTTTTTTTAATTCATTTCTCAATAGTATATTTATTTAAAATAATAATTTTATCTTTCAATATTTTATTAATTTTAAATTAACCATCGTAATTTATTTTGATTTAAAAAATAAAATTGTTAAACCCAATGAAATTTATAATTCGAGTTGCATGTTTGATAGGTTAAACTATAAAACCTGAGTTGATATAATTTATTATCATTTTAATATTAAAAATATATATATATATATATATATATATATCATTTAATTTTTTTTTCAAGTTAAATTATATTTTTTTATCGGTCGTTCAAGCTGTTTTTGAATTCATCAAGTCAACTAAGTCATAATGACTCAATTGTGATACTATTTAATTTAAGGCTTAAGTTAGGAAAAAAATCAAGTTGAGAGTGTTTAAAATTGACACACTAAGTCGGGTTTAATAATAATACTAAATAATTTTTTATGGTTTAAAATAATTAATTTTTAAAAGTTAAATAAGTTACATTTACTCTCGTGTGTGAAACAAATTCTATAAAAATCAAGTTCTGAAAATCTGATTAAGTTAAAATTTATGATTATAAAAAATTTGAACTTGTGTGTGAAATTTGTTTTTTAAAAAAACATAGAGTATTGATATCACATGCCAATAAAAAAAAATCTATATTCATAAAAAGAACAAATAATAGATGGTTATCTTCTATGGGCTCACGGGGCCTAATAGGCACTGGGCTTATGGACCAGTTCTCTCTTCTGAAATTTCATCCCATTCTTTCCCATAATATATCAATCCTTTTTATTTAAGAAATTAAAATTAGAAAAGGAGAAAGCTAAAGGAGACAAACAGGCAGATTCCTCTCCTTTGCTTTTGTAGTTTGGGGCTGTCATCAAACGGCATATGAGTTTCAACCTTCTTTTTTTTTTGTTAATTCTTTTTTTATTGTTTTTGATGTGGTGGTAAAAAAATTATTATTTTATTCTTTTTTCAAGTAAAAGACATATTTTAAAAATTAATTGCTACCGCAATATCAAACCCCCTGTTCATTTCAATTTGTTCTTCTATTCGATGTGATTTGCTGTTAAAAGCAGCCACTCCATTGGTTTGAGGAAGGGATTAAGGGACTTCTCGCGTTTAAATATGATTAATTGTTCTGTTTTACTGTATTCCTTTTCTTTTCAACCTTATCGCGCATTACTGGTAAAATTCCTTAGGTGAAAAGACAAAGACACCGCACTTGGATTATAGAGGGTTCTGTGAAGTCCTTCTCCCTCGTAGATGCTCTTCTTTCTCTCCCTCGACTGATATCAAAAGTCCACCCTGCTCCTCGCACCAATACTCTGATCGAGTTCCGTCCCTCTCACATCAGAGCCATGGCTAGCCTCTGCTTGTCACCGACAGCAGCGGTCACCCTGGTTGAACAAATCAGGCCCCTCTCTTGGATCAACCTTTTGAGTTTTTAAGCAAATACTAAATTGGATTTTTTTACATCATTTGATTTTTCTTTCCTTCCACGAATCATGATTAATCAGGGACTTGATTACTGAATAAGTTGCCGTCAGATCTCTGATATTGTACTCAGGTCACCAGTTTCCCCTCTTTTCTTCTTCCCAATTACACAAACAAATCTCGATCTAAATTTCTTAAAGAAAAATTAAAATTTATTCTTAAATGATTAGGAATTTAAATATGGAGAGCTCCAAGACATTGCATTCAATGGGGACTGAAATGCTGATAAAATTTAACCTCCACTCATCCACTTAACATTCTTTAAAACCATGAGCGCGAAGAGTCAAGTGGGCGGGGCGCCTCTTCACGAGGTCCAGTGCTGGAAAGGAGACGTGGAGTCTTCTTGATGGCATGGTGCCATCAGGTAATCTTTTATCTATCATTTCTAACACATTTATGACTTACAAATCTTATCAGCTCTTTCACTAGATTCCTTATCAATTTTTTATTTTGTCAGCAGCGTAGTTGGACGGCGCCTAACTCTCTAGCTTTGCCGATATGGATTTCGCATTCTAAAGCATTCCCAGGTCTTCTTGAATTCAAACGGCACTCATCATTTAACTGTGGCGGAAAGAATATAAATAATGGTAAAAAAAAGTCATTTTCATCTTTCCTAGGCCACCAGACCCGATCAAATTGGAATATACATAGATATTATTGCAGGAGGAGACTAAAAATTGCCGTTGACAACATGAAAGATAGGTTGAAATAGAAAGACGTCCCACGCCAAATATGTTCGTGATGCCGTAACTAAATAAACTAGCGAAAGATGGAGCGGCCAATCCAAGGAAGGTAGCTGAATTCCTGTGTAGTTCAAAGTGAAAGACATCCCTTAACCATTGGGTATATAATTCATAAAACAAACAGAAATAAGAACTTCGTAATGGTCTGGAGCAACCAAAAAGGTTTTCAGGGAGAAACATATTTCAAGCTCGAGTGAGAGTTCAAACATTTTATTACGATATTCTTACACCCAACATGTGCAAATGTTAGCGGGGCATGCGTAGTTCGTGAATTCTAGTAGTGGGAGCGAGCAAGCTAACAAGTAAAGAGTTACTTTGTGTGGTATCAATCATCTAAAAGTCTAATCTTTGCTCACACCATACACTGGAGAGAGTTTAAGGGCCCTTCTTGTGCAGCGTAAGATCCAGCAAAGCCTCCACAAAGGGGAAAAAAAACCCTCCTTAACTTTGAATATCTCTCCACATGTATTCATTCAGCATTCATACTGCTATCTTTCCACATGTATCATTACCATCCCACATTTCATATGATTTTGAGTCATCGACATGCAGTTCTCGTTAACTTCACAAATAACGAGAAAACAGCCATTCAACTAATATCATCAACATCCGTTTAATTCAGAGTGTTTCTAGATTCACTTGTGATGCATAAATTAAGAGATCATGATCCCAAAAAGAATTGCAATGCATAAGGGAAAGTGACATGGTTTAAAGATAAAGAAAGTTTGAGGGCAGTTGGATAGGGAGGATAATTTAAAAAAACAACCAAATTTTTACAAGTCCAAAAGCATTCGTGCAAACCTTCTTTACCAAATCGCACAAAGATCGCCACAATTACTCTGATGAAGTTGTAGAAATGGGAAAAGAAAGGCACATATGGATCTAATAGAAGATGAGAATGGAATCATTTGACTCACTATTGGTTCAATTGCTAAGCTGTGGAGTGTGGACAAAGGGTTAAATGCATCCTGGAAGTCAATTGCTCTGCCAAGAAAAGCAAGAGCAGGAGAAGCATGCTGGTCTATCAGATTTTGGCACGAGTCAAATCCATAAATAGGGGTTCCCACTAGTCAATTTGTATCACCCATACCCCTTCTCCTTCTGTAATTTTTTGCCCCTTCTTTCTACACTCAGTAGGAGATCAATAAAGCCTAAAGATGATCATAAATAATTCTTCACAACTGAAACTTCTAGTCTATAGGTGATTCAGATTCCACAAGCATCCAAGCAAACAAGGAACAATTGGGTGGGAGGAAAAGTCAAAAAAACAAAAAAAATTCTTGCCATCAATGAACCCAGCACACATCAGAATCCTGCAGGTCCCCTTGATGTTCCTTAAATCAAAAACACAAAAGTCAATCCAAAAGGGTGGTACAAGATGAAACACCCCACCCCTGTATCTGATTAATCTCGACAAGAATTCCAAGATGTGTTGCCTACTGTGATCATATTACATTTCCATATAAAATTCAAACTCCTATACGTCTGGTTGGTGGTATCATAGAATATTAACCTGTCAAAACTATTCCTTCAGCAAATCTTGCCACCACAAGCATTTTTTTCTACTCCTGGTAAGACCACACACTTAAAATTTAGCAAAAACACAAGTGAGACACTTAGATAGCACGCTAGCAATACTGCGAGTGTAGGTTAACGTAAGCAGAAGAAAGGCTGTCCTACATCCAAGAGGGCCATCTATAATAACAGGTTTAAACTCATAAATTACTAGAAATGGAAATTCAGTGTCATCCAAAATCAAACAAAAATAAACTTGGAGCAAACGGCGACATATACCAACTATAATTCAGCACATGGTCATCCCAGCAGCAGCAGCATATGCCAACTATAATTCAGTAAATTCTAATGGTTTACCACCTGCACCTTGATTATCCACCAAAATAACTTTTCCTATTTCAAATATCTTTTGATATAATATCTAATTAACCAGCGCTAAACACTTGTCTAATCGAGAAAATTTAAACCCCCAGCTATTTACAACAGCTATTAATAATAATAATAAAAAGGTAAATAAATCTAAAATCCCTAACCCTCAAACTAAAAAGACAAGGTCTGTTCGTATTATTAATAATAATAACAATCACGCTTACCTGGAGAAGAATAAAATTAATTGAACTTTCAAAGACCTCTCCATCTAGGGCTAGTAACGGGCACTGTTGGTGAGAGAGGAAATGAAGATGGCGAAAGCAACAAACTCGGGGAAAGCAGAGGATAAGGAGACCGCGGAGAGTTCATGCATCCAAATGGCAGCGGTGACGTTGGCAATTGAAACTGCGGCTGTGGTGCGACCATCCCTGCTGACTGCGAGGGGTTCATTACTTGTTGCGGGGGTGGCATGGCAAATTGCTGCTGTGGAGCCATCAGATTGTTCCATCGAGGTGAAACCAACGGGGCCAGCGGCGAGAATCCCGAGAACTGCTTGCTAGAATCAACAGCAGAGATCGTGTTCTGGAGGTACCGCATGTAAGCAGAAACAGGCGATTCCGCCGCCGCGTGAACAGCCGGGAATGGCGGTAACGGGGAGAGAGGTGCCGTTGACCGTTGGATGAAACTGTTTGTGGCAGAGGCGGAGGGGTTAGGGTTTGGTACGGTGGGCATGGGTGGTTGTTGAGGAGGTGGGATGGTGCTGTTCAGCGAAGGAGGAGGGCGGTTGCTAACGTGAGCCAAGGGCGGAGGACGAATACGTTGTAAGCGAGAGCTTTGAGGTTTGGGTGGGTGTATGGGTGGAGGTGTGGAGAATCTCTCATGAGCTGGAGATCCTGTTAGTTTTTGTACCATGTCACGGAAATCATTCTTGTTTATATTGTAAACAGGCGGTTGATGCTGATGCTGCTGCTGCTGATGCCCCTGCAGATTTTGATTTTGTTGCTGTAGTGATGATGGCTGAGATAGTTGCGTTTGTGATTGCTGCTGACAGGGTTGATCGAAGGGGCCCTTTTTTATATTTGCGGTGGTGGTGGTGATTGGGGGTTTGGAGATCTTGTGAGAGAGTTTGTTGAGGTGTTTGAGATAGTGATCTCTGTTGTTGTCGATGGCGGTGTTGTGAGTGCTGCTATTACCACTGGTGATTGTAGGATCACCAGATGATTGACAGCTTTTATCCATTGGAGAAACAAAAAACCACTCTCTTTCTTTCTAGATCTATTCTAATGATCTGGTAATAAATATCATGTATATGCGCGTGCAAGTGGAAGCTGCTGCTGCTGCTGTTTGTGTTTCTGTGGGGAAGCTCTTATCTTCTTCTCTGTGGCAGACTTCAAAAGAGGTGTTTAGGCTGGGTAGCTGTAGGGTCACACAGATTATAATATATTTTTTTGAAAATTAACCCCAAGAATTGTGAAATTAGCATTAATCGAATTATTATTATTCTTTTTTTTTTAAAAAAAAAAAACACAATCCGGGAACAACAGCAGTTACCAAGTACGATATTTTAAAATCTCACATTTAGAGACTACGATTTTTATCTTATTTTCCAAAAGAAAATTTAGACAGCCGAAAGTATTTTTCAACTATATTAAAAAGGAAAAACAACTCACAGATTAACAATGACGTGTAATCCTCCTGGTATGAGTGGGAAGATACAAGGAGGGGAAAACGACAACGGTATCATTAGAAAACATTTGATTAGAAGAACGCATAACATTACAAAAGAAATATTATATATTTATTTCATCGAGTATTTTTTTAATAATTAAAATTTTAATGTGATTACAAAATCTCTTCTTCTTCCTTTCCCTCTTTTATCTCGTCTCCCTTGAAATTACAAAGCCGCACATATCTGTGATTTTCATCGAACCATCTTATTGTCCAAAAAGAATTTAAAAACCATGGTGGGATGTCAAGAACACCCCTCGTACTAACAGATGACAGTCAGTTGCAAGTGGGGGAGAGGAAAGCGGTAAAGGGGTGTGTGTGTGTGTGTGTGTGTGTGTGTGTATGGGAGTTTGTTTATAATGTGGTCTTTCCTTTTGCTTTTTACTGATTGGTTCTGGAGGCTTAAAAGAAGAGAAAGGACACGACCCGTAAAAGAAGGCACGCATCTCTCTATCAGGAGAGATTATTATTATTATTATTATTATGCACCGCTAAATACCAATTCTGTATCTAATCTTATTTTTGTAAGAATGCCGACGTCAACAATGCTTGTTGTTTTCTCTCTCCTTTTTTTTTCAAAGTAGGCCCCATCGATACTCGGAACAGGGCCTGTCTCTGGACTTTTCACTCCCACCCAAAATTAATCAAATTGTTATGTCCTTGCTCGTCGCAGCTCCTTTGACTGATCCAGCGGCTCCATGTGATTTGCCTTTCCTTTTCTTTTCTTCCATTGTTGATGGAGTCACATTTTCAAACTATGAATAACGTGATTACGATGTAATTTCTTCTTTAAAAACATGAAGGTGCCACCGTGACTGGGTGGAAATAAAATCAACCGGGGAGGTCCGAGTTTAATGGCTGTATCTTTCCCAACTCAGTTACCAAGGGATCTTTAAAGTAAAAAAATTAGATTTTGACCAGTAACGTGCTAAGTCTCAGTTCCAGACAGGGTCAGTGCATTGGCAATTACTTTTAGGGAAAAAAAATTAAATAATATTTTTGTTTTATTTCTTAAGATATAAATTTGTTATCAGTGTAAAAGAACAACTGAAAAGACAAAATAAATAGATAAAAAAATCAAGATTTTTGAAAATGCGCAACTAAGCACGTTACCAAACGTTTCCGTATTTGCCATCGTTCATGAGTGTAGTTAATGCTGTTTGTTTTGTCGAACGAAATAATTATTATATCTCTTGGAATTATCTATTGCCGGTCAAACTGGCGTTACAGAAGGATGTGAATCGGACAGCAAATTTCAGTAACGGAGATGGCATCATCGTGACTTTAGAGATCAAGGCTGCAAAAAGGGGTTGGCGTATCATCTTTCATCACCAACCAGCACCCCTGTTTCCCAAACTTTTATCAGCCCTCCGTATCTTTCTTTTTTCTTTTCTTTTTTCGGATATGGTGATGGCTACCTGTGTATGTTTTACATTAGATTATATATATATATATATAAACTCAAGTTTTTATTTTGATATAAAAACTAGATTTAAATAGTAAAAATCAAATAACTTTTACAGTTGGGACCAATCTAAAAATATCCATGACAGTATCATATCATAATATATATATATATATATATATATATATAGCTTGATTTTTAGTGCTATGTTGTGTGATGAAATATATTTTTTTCAATGAAAAAAAAAACACATGGGTGTTATTAATGTTTTATATCCGAAAAAATTAATTACAAACTAAAAATTTTATATATGTACTCAATAAAATGAATTGATAGTTATATATATTTAAATAATAAATTTACTGAGTCCAATTAAAACTTAAAAACAAAAAATTAAATCAAGAAGTTGAGATAAGCATTTTATTTATTAGAGAAAAAAAGGCTGGATATTTTTTCAGTTTAAAATTGAATCCATAAAGTAAATCAATTAAAATAAAACATTAAATTTAATCTTAAATCAATATAATATGAAATAATTAAATCGAGAATAAAAAAATTTGGTGGAAAAAAAATAAAAAGAAAAAATTATGGATAATCATTATGACATAATAGATTATGCATTTCTTATATGTTGTGTTTTTATTATTTTTAAAATGTTTTTTTATCTTGTATTGTCTCACATGTTCATGATTACAGGTACCATATCGTAGCTTATCAAACTCTGATTTTTCAAGACTTTACTGTAATTCTTAACTGGGAAGCATGATACAGATTATAATATAGTATAATTACAATTTTTTCATTAAAAAAAACTATTAAAGCATATTTTCTGGCAAGATTGTTTTTTTACCATAATACAACTGTCTTTAACATATTATACGGTGTTAGATTTATTATTTCTTTCTTTTTGCACCATAAAATTACCGCTCGAGCCTTAGAATAAAAAAATTCAATGTTTTTCACCCGTGTGTGTTTTGATCATTTTATTTATGTTAAAATAATATAATTACTTTGATATTTTTAAAACAAGAACAATATAGTTTTCTCATAATTTTTTGTTATTGTTAGTCTATGTTAGTTTTGTTTTTATTGTAAATTTAGAGGTTTTTTAAGAGATATTATAAAAATTCCCATGTATTAAATACTATTTTTAAAAAATATTTGTTGAAATGTGCAATATATACACTGTAGGGTAGACAATTCTTGTGTCAATCAGATCATCATTCAAAGTATTCGTTTGACACGTGTTCCAGGATTTAGAGTAGTTTAACGTTGGTAAAAAGTTTTGTTTTTCCATTTTTCTCTTCTTCTCCATCTAAATTTTTTCATGATGACCTCTTAAATTTTCAAGAATAAATTTTTAATTTGTTAATTTTTTATATTTAATTATTTTTATTTTCATTATAATTTTTTTATTTTGAATAGTTTATAAAATTGATATGCCTTTTTAATTTTATCCACTTTAAACTTTTTTATCTTTCAAATTTATTCCTTATCCTTTTAATTATGATTTTTATAATCTTTTTAAAAATTAATTTTGTTTTATGATTATTTTCTTTTGATATTTTTTTATGTCAATCTTAATCTCTATTTATTTGGTCGCTAGTATGGTTGCCTTAACAAGATTTTAAAATTAGTTTATAATAAACTTCAAGATTGGATTCAAATGTAGAGATTTAAAGATTGCAAATTTTTAAGATGCAATCAGATTTAAAATGTTTTTCTGATTTTGTTTGGTTTTTGTTTTTTTTGTCTGAGCTTTCCCCCTTGTTTTCATCATTCATTGTTTATTCAACTAATACTGATTATATTTTTAACCTATTTTTTGGGGTTTTTGATCGGACTTAAAAATAATTTAGTTATCTCGTATCATTCCGGGTCATTTTATTTATCATTATTTGTTAGGTTTTATGGCTAATTCTTTAGATTTATATTTTTTTTTGGTCTTTTCCTCCTGTGTTCAAAATATTTTTTTAAAACAATTTATATAGTTATAATTCTTTTTATATTTCAAAACGCTTTATTTTTTCTTTTCTTTTTTATTCTAGTTCTTATTATTGTTTTGATTACCTTTTGTTTTATTTAAAATAAATTTTTAAAATTATCTCTGTTTGCATGTTTTCTATGAGATTTTCAATAATTTTTAAAATAATCTAGGTTTTCTAGAATCTTTTTAATTGTTTATTTTTGTTGGATTTACTTTGTCCAATCAATATGACATTAGTTAGAAATTGAACATATCAACTAAATTTAAGTTTAGAATTTAATAGGTTGTGTATTTGAGATGTTTGTCTAGATTTAGAAAATTTATTGGAGTTTTTTTGTTTTTTTTTTTAAAGTTAATGTTTTTTTTAGCTTTATCATTTAATATATATCATTAGTGATTAGGTTTTTTGTTTTTCTTATCTTTCTTTTGTATGATTTTTTTCAACTTTGTAGTTTTTGCCGTTTTTTATATTGTTTTGGTTTTTTCATGTATAAGTGGTTTTTTATTGATTGTGTTTGTGCTACCAGTTCATTTTTTTATCTTTTTTATGATTTTATTTTTTATAATTAAATTAATTAAGAATTGAACTCTTTGATTTAATTTAAATTTAAGATTTTATAAATTCCAAGATTTAAAAATTAGACAAGATTTATAAAGTCTGCAAAGCGCTGGCCGCGAATCCTGTGTGTATATAGTTTTAAGATGACATGGCAAGATTATTGAGCAGTCAAGCGTGTACTGAGTCACTGTTTTAGTCAACAAAGACGTTAAAGCTTTTAACCCAATCAGGTGTTTCTTGCCCGTTAACATATCCAGTTATTCAAATCAACCAAACGAAACAATTTATCATGCGAGGCACTTTAACACTAGCTAATAATTCCATGACTCTTTTTTCTTTCTTTTTCTTTTTTTTCCTGTTTCACGAGGTACATAATTTTTTGGTGGTTAAAAGAAGCAAGGGCTGCAAGTCCCGGAGTTCTTTTAGGATGCACACACAGGCTTCATCGACAGCAGCAGAAGCATTTTTCTCTTTGCATTCGAGGCCAATCAAATTCGTATTGGAAAGTTATGTCTCGTAATGGCGGGGACAAGCAAAACAGCCAGAGCAAGTGCGCATAATTACATGCTTGCCTAGTTTTTTCGTGCACGATCTCGTCCAGATAATAATTTGCTGCTACCCAAGCACAGCACGCAACGCATCTACCAGTTTGTCGCTTTGAGGTGCGTTTATTCCTCTTATAAAGACTCTCGAGGCCCTTCGCGAATAATAATTGACAGGCAAACAA